TAACATGAAATTCCAGAAAAATAAAACAATTATTTATTTAAAAAAATACTCCAGGGTTTTACAAATAGCCATGAAGCCTAGTGGCAAAACACACCTTATCTTTTTCTAGTGGCTGGCACTCATAGGGATGACAACCTGCTACTGCTATTACTTGCCCTTTTGGTGCAAGTGGCAGAGCTCTGCTAGGGATTTAAAGGATCCAACTTTTGAACTGGTTTTTTTTTTCTTCCATTCAGCTTAAACAAAAACCCAAAAATTAGACTCTCAACTTTTTAAAAAATATGTAGTTTCTTGCAGATTGCAGGTTAAAGTACACACAAGTTAGGGAATATAAATATTAAGGTTGCGATTGCAACCTTAACTTTCCCTTGCTCCCCTTAATTACATGATCACACTTTTTCTCCCAAGACCTCTGCCGTATTCAGTGCTTAAAGAAGGAATTGGTTTGTCTGAAGTACCACGCCTTATTTGTTGGAGTAGTTGGAAGGTATGTAGTGAAATGAGGCAGGGATTTCACTGAGCAAGAGGATAATCCTGTCTTAATGTAGCTGAATGCCATCTTGGAAAACTGCCTTCTGCCTCGCCACAGAGTTCCTGTGTGACAATAGACAAAGTCACGTAAACCAAACTTCATACAGATGGCCACTAGCATGTGTGTGTTCCTCGTTCTTCTGTGAGTTCTCAATGTTATGCAAGCTCTGATTGCAGTGTTGCGCACTCAACTGTAACTGAAGTCATTGAAAGCTGTGCTCTGAACAAATGATATGCTGTAAAATATTAATTTCCTCTGAAAAATCAGTCTATGGATGTCTCAAGGCACCCAAAATTAGTGTAAAATGTTGATTCAATTAAAAACTACAATAAAGCTTACACAAAGGGGAAGATCAAATTAGGGTTGTGCAGGCAACCTATATTCTGACATTGAGTGCTACTTTTGAGTGGTTAACTTTGCAACCTTAATGTTTTTAAATGTTTCTTATATGAGCGCGCGTACAGATAATATGCATGTATGTACAAATATCTGCTGTTCCTCACCGACATAATATACTTGAAAATGACATTCAGCTGGGTAATTTATCAAATTGGTCAACACAAATAGATGCTCTCCCAGGGTACGTCTACACTACAAAGTTAGTTCGAACTAACTTAGTTCGAATTAGTTCGAATTAGCTTAGTTCGAATTAACTAACGCGTCTAGAACTAAAAACTAGTTCGAATTAGCGTTTTGCTAATTCGAACTAGCAAGTCCACATTGAGTGGACTCTGAACAGGGCTTAAGGATGGCCGGAAGCAGTGCCGGCAGGGCATCAGAGGAGGACTTAGAGCGTGGAGATGCTGTCTCAGGCTAGCCGAGGGCTGCGCTTAAAGGGTCCCGACCCCCACCCCGGACACACAGTTCTAAGGGGTGCCCCGCTTGCAAAGAAGTTCTGGCTTGGAGTGCCCTGAGTGCCCACACTGGGCACATCACACCACTCGGCCATCAGCCCGGCTGCACTTGCCGCAGGCTGCCATCTGGGGAGAGGGAGTAATTGGGGGGCTGCAGGAGAGCTTCCACCCCCAGAAGCCCGCAGAGCCAGCCCAGTCCTCCCCATCGGGGGCTCGTACCCCATTCCTCCCTCACCTCCTGCCACTTACCCTTCCCTAGCCCCCCTTCTTATTGATGTACAAAATAAAGATAACGTTTCTTCCAACATTGACTCTGTCTTTATTGAACAAAACTGGGGGAGACTGGGAAAAGGAGGTGGGAGAGGGGAAGAGAAAGGCTGGGAGAGGGGAGGGCAACTAACATGATCAGGGGTTGGGAACAGGTCCCAGATGAAGAAAGGCTACAGAGACTGGGACTGTTCAGCTTAGAAAAGAGGAGACGGAGGGGGGACAGGATAGAGGTCTCTAAAAGCAGGGGTTGGGTGGAGAGGGTGCATTCAGAAAAGTTCTTCCTGAGTTCCCATAAAGAAGGACTAGAGGACACCAAAGGAAAGGAATGGGTAGCAGGCTTCAAACTAGTAAGAGAAAGTTGTTCTTCTTCACAAAGCAAATAGTTAACCTGTGGAACTCCTTGCTGCAGGAGGCTGTGAAGGCTACAACTAGAACAGAGTTTAAAGGGAAGTGAGATCAAGTCATGGAGGTTGGGTCCATGGAGTCCTATTAGCCAGAGGGTAGGAGTGGTGTCCCTGCCCAAAGTTTGTGGAAGGCTGGAGAGGGATGGCACGAGACAAATGGCTTGGTCACTGTCTTCGGTCCATCCCCTCCAGGGTCCCTAGGGTTGGCCGCTGTCGGCAGACAGGCTACTGGGCTAGATGGACCTTTGGTCTGACCCAGGACGGCCATTGTAAGCTCAGGGCTCAGGGTCGGGGGTCTCAGTGGACCCCCTTGATTTTCATGCACACCTGCTCCTGGGTGGCCAGGCTGGCAGCTCTCCTGCCCTAGACGGCCACTTTCCTGTGCCTAGTGCGGAGATCGTGGACGAGGTCCACGATGTCCTCACTAGCCCAGGAAGGTGCCCTCCTCTTGCGGTCCAGGGCAGTAATTCAAATTACTCTACTGACAAACTATTTTTTTCCCAAAATGAGAAATTACAAGAAAGCCGACTTCTCAAAATGGATAAAGAATAGTTTCTTTGGAGACTATCTTTCATTGTGGCCAGAGTGGCCACCAGGGAAACCTGGGGAGGGCTAGCCTCCCACTAGTTCGAATTAAGGGGCTACACACCCCTTAATTCGAACTAGCTAGTTCGAACTAGGCTTAATCCTCGTAAAATGAGGTTTACTTAGTTCGAACTAAGCGCTCCGCTAGTTCGATTCAAATTCGAACTAGCGGAGCGCTAGTGTAGCGCCTATTAAAGTTAGTTCAAACTAACGTCCGTTAGTTCGAACTAACTTTGTAGTGTAGACCTACCCCCATATAGTAAATGCATTAGAGGGGTAGCCAAATTAGTCTATAACAGGGAAAACTTAACAAATAGTCTAGTACAGGGTTCACCAACAAGTAGATCCTGATCTACTGGTAGATCTTAGAGCCTCTGAAAGGTGATCCTATCTAGTTTGGCTGGGAGGCTATCAAGTGCCAGTACTTCAGCTGCCCCTCCCCATGCTTCCCTTCTGCTCCTGCCAAGTGCCTCAGAGCTGCCTCCTGCTCATTGTGAAGGGTGGGGGAGACAGAGGCAGGGGAGTACCAAGGTCACTCTGCCCATCTTCCTGCCCTTCTTATTCTGTAGCCTCAGCAAAAAGGTGGAGCAGGGCCTCAGAGAAGCAGCGGGGCAGGGATATTTGGGTTTGAGGTAGATCCTGGACTAAAATCAAAAAGTGATCTTGTGCTTAAAAAGGCTGGTCTAGTAGTACCTTTAAGACTAAATACAGTAGAGTCTCAATTATCAGACCTTCGTTTATCCGACATTCCGTGTTATCTGATGTACCGCCCGTCATGTCATGGAAAGGGGCTCCAGAGACACTTCACCACAATGGCCTTGCTTTCCCTTTCCCTGTTCCAGGACTGGGCGGGAGCTCTGGTTGGCAGGTCTGCAGCTCCCTCTTGTGGCTGAAGAATTCAGCAAAGTAGCTTTTTTTTTTTCCTGTTTCTGTGGAAAGTGGCAAGCACCTTGCCCTGCCTCACGTCTTAGGCAATCCACACACAGCTCTGGAAAATCATCTCCGGGGACATGGAGTGGTGCAGCGCGAGGGCTGAGTTCCCGCCGCAAGGCAGAACCTTGGATCTTACTCCCATTTGAGGAGAAATACAAGAGCTGGTCAATGCAGCAGATTCAGGGGGGTTAGAACTGGACCCCGCAAGGTATTACAAAGTTCAAATTTATAAAATTAATTACTGTATTAAAATAATTTTCCATATTATCCAACATTTCCGTTATCCGACCATCCTCTGGTCCCGTTTAGGTTGGATAATGAAGACTCTACTGTAGTAACAAGAGGCTGATAAGAACTATTAGTTTGCCCTTGGAAAGGAAGATGACCAAGGCTAGATTCTACACAGACATCAAGAAACATTAGCACCTTCATTGTTTATTTGGTTAAGTCATTAAGGTGTGGAAGATAATGTGCGAGCCATCAGATTGGTGGAGTCTGTACTATTCAACACAAGATTGCTTTACATCTTACATTGTCAGTGAGAGTGCCTTGGTGTTACATTTTTAGGGGGATGCAATCGTACTCACGTATTGTGCAGATGGCAGTGCCAGACTAATACAGAAAAATGAGAAACAAGTACCTATTAAATGTACAGAAAATGCATGATCTGCATTACAAATTTGTCAGTGGTATTGCATGCAGGAAGCTAAACCAGATGGCTCTGTGTTAAAACACATTCCTTCTTGAGTAAATTAAATACAAGCAATTTGCTCAATTTCTGTAGACCTGCTGCATATTACATTAGGGGAGAGAGAACAAAAGATTAAGTACTTTATTTATTGGATACTTCAGAGGAGTATGAGTCTGTAACAGCAATAGCTTAAAACACATAGTATAGTTGCACCTTAAAGACTAACAAAACATGTAGATGGTATCATGAGCTTTCGTGGGCACAACTTCTTCAGTGAGTTGTGCCCACGAAAGCTCATGATGCCATCTACATGTTTTGTTAGTCTAGAAGCACCTCAAAGACTTATTTAGTTATTTACTGGAAACATTTAAGTGAAGTTGGAAGTTACTGAGTTATAATCTTTTCTCCACATGTATTTGAATCACACCTTGCAGACAATGACAATGGGGATCTTTGTTCTAAAATATGGGTGGGAGATACAATGCAGAAAACTGGTCTCCTGCTATGACATACTGCTTAACACATGCACAGTAGAAAACAGAGCCATTTAATTGTATCAAATTTATTCTTAAATGTCAAAAGATTGACTATTTGTACTTGGTTCAAGATGCTAATTATAGGGGAAAATACGTTAGTTTTTAAAATATTTGAAATTTTTAAAAATTAATACATTGATTACTAAACAGAAGCAGACTGTTTTGCAACAGTGATATATTTCTTTCTATCTTTAGCTTGGTGAGAGTGGTTACTGTACAGGTCATGAGCCAGATTCTATGGAATTCAGCTCCCTTGGAGGTTGGGTGGCCACACGAGCATCAGGAATGAAAAAGAACATATATGGAAACATTGAAGATCTGGTAATTTAATTTTTTTATCTAGCATTTCCACTCCAACATGAAACATTCAGTACTGGTTTCTGTAAACTACTCTCAACTGGGACAGAGAGAGACCTATGAAGACATGACCTATGAAGGAAGGCTGAAAGAATTGGGTTTGTTTAGTTTAGAAAAGAGAAGATTGAGGGGGGACATGATAGCAACTTTCAGGTATCTAAAAGAGTGTCATAAGGAGGAGGGAGAAAACTTATTCATCTTGGCCTTTGAGGATAATACAAGAAGCAGTGGGCTTAAACTGCAGCAAAGGAGGTTTAGGATAGACATTAAGCAAAAGTTCCTAACTGTCAGGGTGGTTAAACACTGGAATAAATTGCCCAGGGACGTTGTGGAATCTCTACCTCTGGAGATATTTAAGAGTAGGGTAGATAAATGTCCATCAGGGATGGTCTGGACAGTACTGGGTCCTGCCATGAGGGCAGGGGACTGGACTCAATGACCTCTTGAGGTCCCTTCCAGTCCTAGTGAAAGTGGGAGTTGATAGTAATTGTCTTAAATTACCTTTATGTTAAGGCTTCTTAAAATTTAGAATAAAACCCTCCCTGTTAGCAAACAATGGAACTAAAATATAATTCTGGCATCAATACTGTACATTTTCTCATATATAGATACATAAAATAAAATGTTAGTGAACATTTACAGTGAGCAGCCAGGATCATACTTTATAGCTCCTTTGTTTGCTAAAGGTACCTGCCTTACTCCAAATTTGAAACAGCTTAAATAAAAATGCAGTTTTCTATGTAAATATGCACATTATGAAACTGTCTTCATGGACGTATAAAGAGTTCAGGAGAAGCCATTAGGTTATATTGTTAAGCCATCCAGACATTTCGAGAGTCTTAAATGTGCACTGAAATTCTAAGGCCATTTGTTGAATTTAAGATGCTTTCAAATTTCATATTTTATCGGCTTTGAAAACTCCTAATTTTTTTACTGTATCTCTATTTCTATTATAGCAAGAAATAAAAATTACATAATATGGATATATAATAAGCAATCTGGACACATCAGAGTAGAAACAAATATAGTGAGGTTAAGAAGGATTTTTAGCACTATCTGGACTGTCAATCTTCTGCTACCACGGCAAATTTGTAGACAAGCTGCTATGTAAATATGCATTTGCAATAAATGTAGGGTTTTTTAATTTTCACCGGAAATAATTTTTAATGGTGATATATTCATCTTTCAGCCAAATGTAACTATCTTAAAATTGCTGTATTTGGTAAAGGTTGATTTTTGGCATTCTACATTTAAAAATTCCATCTCCTTTACAATTTTCCTGTGAGATATAGTAAAGTATGTATATGTCAGTGTTAACCAGTGAAATCATGATGCTTAAACAAAAGGAAGATACTGAATTAGGGCATTATGAGAAACCTAACAAAATGTTTAATTATAGATTAATTGTGGCATGTATAAAGGGACAGAAGAGAAGTTTTGATTTGGGGAAAGCAGCAAGAATAATCTACACTTTCATTGGCAAACTGAATTGTATTAGATTTATTAGTTGTTAGCAGGCTACTTCACATGTCTAAGATAATTTACTGGATTTTCAAATTTTAATATATAATTATATGAAGTAAAGTTGCATTTTTCTGGTAAACAAGTTTTATACAAATATATTAATCCATAGATATTAATTGCTTGACTGTTAAATACTACAGGAATATATAATCACTGTATAATTTGTTAAACAGGTGGTTCACATTAAAATGGTAACCCCAAGAGGAGTAATAGAAAAAGGCTGTCAAGTACCTCGCATGTCAACAGGACCTGATATCCATCATTTCATTATGGGATCTGAAGGTATAAACAAAAGTAATATCAAGATGGTGTTAGTGAGATTATATCATTTTCTTGTAATGGTTTGAAATCCCTTGGGATTTATTTATTCAAAACCTTATTTTTCATTTAATGGGTAGTATTCCAATGGCATTTAATGGGTAGTATTCCAAGGAAGAATTTTCCTTCATTTTTCTACCACTTTGTGGCTCTGAACATGGCCACGTGGTGTTCCATAAATACGTGCCCAAAAAGGTCTATTGATACTTCTCTCGCGTCTAACTATAATTATCAATTTGTTTGAACTCAAACGTTAAGAAACTATTTAAAAATCATTGCCATATAAACAGCCAAGAAATGTTAATTACTACAATACTGAGGTTATCTTCTTCTTTGTGTTAAGTAATTAAATCTCTACTTTAGCCTTCTGGTACCATGTTACTTAATGCAGGATGTATTGTTTCTTGCTGTTTTAATAAAGTTAATGTAACTGAATCTACTCAATTTAAAATGATTTGGAAGTAATTAAATATTCATTAATTTTGGCTTACCCATTTAGGTGAAACATGGCACCAAATTACATTTCAAGAAGTTATTTATTAATATGAAAATGTCTTGTTGGTTTGTATCTTTTTATAATTAAAATGATTCTAGTTGGATTTGCTTAAGATTGCTATGTGAGTATTTCAATTTTCATGCATATGCAGAAGTAGGGCCAATGTAAATTTACATGTGTATTGAGGGACATTTATTCTCAAAAAATTTCATTTAACATGAAGTGTTCACATGAACAACTGAATATATAATTGACCAGGTTTGTGTTCCTTTCCTTGTCAGTATCCTTCTATTTATTCCCTTTTGTTTCTGGTATGTATCAATTACTCCTGCAGGATTTCTCCATGAGAAAGATGTCCATATTACTCCAATAGGTACCCAAAAAACTCTGAAAAGCTTTTTAAATTAAAAGTTTCTAACAGACACCTACTGCAAATGCTGTTAAAACGTTTTCATAGAAAAATTATCATAAGGAGTTAGTATAAAGAATCATTATTCATGTGTTGTACAGAGTTGACTATTTAAAATAGTCTTTAGAACTTCTTGTAAATGCTTGTATTGCTGAGAACCGAAGAGTTTAAGTTCTTAAAACAAATTTTCTTCAAATTCCACACATCTAAAATTTTCCAAAGTCCAGGACTTCTATTTACATCTTCATGTAAGTTCATATTGACTACTTCTTAACTACTAAAAACTACAGTATTATCCCCTTTGTCTGTTATAACTGATTAGAATTAAAGAAAGCTAGTCATGTCAGATGGAAAGTTTAGGCTATGACTAGACTTGCAGAGAAATTGATGCTGCAGCAGTTGATCTTCAAGCATTGAGTGTAGCAGGTCTAAATCCAATGTTGAGGGTACCTCCATCAACACTAGCATTCCTTGCCTATCGTAAGGGAAATCAAAGGGAGTATTTCTCATGTCAATCTCCTATTGTGGGAATGGCACCGAGTACGTTGGCTCCAGCTATGTTATTTACCTAACTGGAATTGTGAACCTTAAGCCTGTCTTCCTCCGTAGTATAGATCTTTCCTTAGTCTAGTTATTAGCAAAATCTGGTAACCTAACAAGCTGGTATAAATTTGCCATCTGCTTTACACCATAGACTTGTTACTGTATGCTCTGTTTTCCTAGTTCATTATTTGTAATTCAGTTGCTCCAAAAGGCCCCAATCAGAATTGTATCTCCACTGTGCTAGGCATTAGGGATGTTAAATTTTGACGAATGAGCTAATCCAGTAGTTGATGGAATTTCCATCGACTACGTGATTAGTCGATAATGGGGGTGCTCACTATTCCACTACACCTCTCCCGTTGGAATGTACAGGAGCTGCTCACAGCTCTTCTACATTTCAGAGGGAGAGAGGCAGCAGGAAGCTGCACCAGCAGGGAGCAAAGCAGTCCACCTGGCACAGGTTCCCCTCTGCGCTTCTTCCTTTGAAATGTACAAGAGCTGTAGGTGGCTCTTGTACATTCCAAAGATAGAGGAGCAGCGGTGGGATCGACGCGAATGGGACTGTTTCAATCCCTGCTCGTGTAGTTTCCCTGCTCCCAGCACTGTCTCTGCAGGGTGGGGGGGAACCAGCTTTTAAACCAGCTCCCCCCAACACCGGTTCATGCTCTCTCCCTTCTCCCCTTGCTGCCTTTCTCTCTGATAGAGGAAGGAAGCGTGGGGAAGTGACTAGTAGAGTTCCAGCTCAGCTACCCAATAAGCATTTGCTTATTGGGTAATTGACTAGTCATTTACATCCCTACTAGGCACTACAGAAATACACAGCTGGGCATGGTTGTGTCTCGAAGACTTTGCAATCTAATTACTTAGTAAATTTTTTGAAACTGCAAGATAAAAACCTGTCTATGCACTCTAAATGTGTGTCCTGAGCATACTCAAGTTAGAGACCTTTGACATCAGTACTGTTCAATAGTGCATGGACTCTGCCATCCTCAAGTGGCGCAGAGGGCATAAAATGGGAGTGGCCATGATTTTCCTCTGTTCATTCTTACCATTTGTAGCAAGAGTTGGAGCTTCCCATTGCTTTTGAGCATCAGTTACCCAGCTCAAAAGAGAATTTTCTCCTTTTGTATATAGTTGCAAGTCAGCATTTCAAACCTCAACAACCACAAACTACTCCTGGGGGAAAAATATAGTGAAATTCTAGTTTAGTTAGTTCCAGTGCTGTTCTAGGAATTTTTTTGCCATGCAGAAATCCCCTGGATTTAAACAGTTTGATATTGGGCAGAACTATCTCACTGATAGGCACAAAAGGTGCTTAGTTTGTTTAGTTGTCTCAAATTGTAGGGAACTTGGATTAAAGAGCAACCCATTACAATTATTTTCTCTCACACAGACAATATTTTTTGTAAGAAAAAAGGTGCTGGTACTCCCGGCTCAAAGCTGAGCAAAAAAAAATAAATAAACTGCACCGGGGGCCAAAATGCAATCACAGCCCCTTTAAGAGCCGTGTATCTGGGGCCAAGCCTCCCCAGGAAATACATGCTGGTATGCCAGAGGGGAATCCCATTCAATTCAATTTCAGATGGGAAAATAGGTGCTGGTATGCCGTCCCGGGAAGGAGGGAGGGAGGATGGATGGATGCGTGCGTGCACGCGCGCACACACAAATCATAATCCCTGTATTTGGGTGTATTAAGTGTTCCTATAATCACAACATCCACCACAGAATAATCAAAGCTTTCAGGAAGAAAACTCAAACCAAAACAAAAAGCTTAGTAATGGATAATCCTTGTGGGGTGGATCTAAGGGTGTGTCTACACTGCACCATTATTTGGAGATAATTAGTGTTATTTTGAAAAAACAATGCGAGGGTCTACACAATGATTCTGTTTTGAAATTATTTTGAAATAACGGACGGCTTATTCCGAAATCTGCAAACCTCATTCTTCAAGGAATAATGCCTATTCCAAAATAGCTATCTCGAAATAAGGGGTGTATAAAAGCTCCACTGCTGCTATATCGAAATAGCTGCTCACCAGAGCCATTCTAAATTATTCTTCCCCAGTGCCTCCTGGGGCTCTAAATTGAGATAGCACATCTGTATTAGGGAAGCCTGGCCCGGACTAATTTTGAGGCTGCAGTGTAGACAAGCTATTTCGAAATAAGCAAGCAGTGTAGATGCTTAATGTACATTACTAATAAAAGTATTAGTTCTATTTTTAAATAGTAAATTTGAGTTATCACCTTCACTGTAACTTGCACTAAAGCTAGCTTCCTGCTGTATAATAAATATAACAGTGTCATATAAACCTTATTTTTAATGAAGCTCTGTAATAGCCTTTTTAACATTTTTGTGTATATACTTCTCTTGTGTTGAGAGATCAATTATATCTTGTTTTATGTTCAAATAAATATTTAATGTCTGACTAAATCTCCAATGGTCACAACCTTTTCATGCCCTTGGTGCAGATTTCCAGCACATGTGCTGCTAAAGATTTCTGATTCAAGTGTAATGTATGCACATACGTTTACATGGTTTTTTTTACTTTTTCAATTTGTTTCAAGACACCGAAACCCTACTTACAGCAGTAGTTTGCATTGTTTTTAGCACTACATATTGCCATTTTACCATGACATTCCAACATTGAATAACTCACGTTAATAGTTAGTCAAACTCTGTGAAGGCTTTCACAAAACCATCTTAAAAATGTAGTTATATCCTAACTGATTTACCCGACCTCCTGTATTTCTTGTATGATCTTCAGGTTAATTTCAGTTGCTTGATTTCCTCAGGTAACAAGTTAATTCTTCTCCATCCTGAATTGTTTGTTTATAGTCCTAATGTTAAAGGATTTGAAAACTAATTTAGCTTTTCTCCTAACTCAAATCAATACTATTGTAATAACTAATCCCCTTCACTACAAATCACTGAGTAGAATGGTGAAAAAATATTCATTTTTAAACCTAATTGGCTTATACAACTGGATATACAACCTGTTTTCTTTACCTGACAATTCCATTTAGAGCCTGTCAAAAACAGAGGCACAGCTTGGCGTGAATACAGTAAAGCAGCTGTGCTTTTGCAGACTATTTCATTAAAACTATTAGATTGTAAACATCTTGATCTTGTTTGATTTTTCTGAAAGAAAACTGATCTACAATTAGAGAAATGTTGTCAACATTTGTTTGGAGACATGTAGAAGGAAAAATTAAATTTCTGGTGAAATGATGCACAACACAACTGCTACTCTAAGCTTTTAAAATAAATTATCAGATTTCCAGAGGCATCTAATTTATGGCATCAGTAATACTCAATCTATTAAGTCTGAAAGCCAGAAATATTTTTGACATTGAAATGACATACATTTCCTTTTTTAAAGGAACTCTTGGAGTGGTTACAGAAGTCACAATAAAAATTCGACCAACACCTGAATATCAGAAGTATGGCTCTGTAGTATTTCCTAACTTCGAACGAGGAGTGGCCTGTTTAAGAGAAATAGCAAAGCAGGTAAAGAGAAGTTTTGTGGTTGAATTCTGTTACAGTTTGAGTTCTATCACTAGGTGGCACAGTAATGCTCTTATTGCCTTTAGATACTACTTGTGGTTAAGTGGGTTCAATTTTAAAACCTTTGAAACCTCAGTTTAATTTGTTTTAAAAAATTAGCTAAAATTTGATTTGAAAACTTATTTTCATGTTGTTCCAGATTAAGGAAGTTGAACAGCAAGTACCACAGATGAGTGTATGTGCACTAGAATGGTGCTATACTCAGGCACTGTTTTGGAAGATACAGAAACTCTTTGGATCACTTTTTAGTAACAGAAGAGAACAACTGATCCAATCTGCTAGAGATATGACAACGGAAAATGGGGGGCGGGCATTTAGGAGTGAAGGGACAGCTGATAGCAGTATTTGGGGTGGATCAGGGATGCCTCAGGTTGAAGTGGTCTTTATTCTACATAGCTACCTTGGGACTGTTCTAGTTTTCTTTGAAAAGTTTTGTAGCTGATAGCATCGGCCTGGAGGTTTCTCAAGGTAATGTTCAACAATCACATTCCCAGAATAGTTTTCAGAAAGATCTTGAGCACATAATTCTAGAATACTTATGAAAGTAGGGGAAAAAAAAAACCCAAACCAAAACAAAAAATGTAATCCTCATGGGCTGGATTCTAAACTTACCTTTTTTCTTATTAGTGTTTTTTCTTACTATTGGTACCTTTAAAGTAGTAAATTGCATCCTGCACTAAAGCTAGCTTACTGCTGTACAGTAAATGTAATATAAGATGTATATGGCAGACTATTTTTGAAGATCTATAATAGCCATTTTAACATTTTCTCATATATACTTTCTCCTCTTTTTTTGTGTTGAACTGTCAATTATATCTTGTTTTATGCCCAATTAAATATTTAATATGAAAATAAATCTCCAGTGAGAGAACTAGCATAAATGGATAACAGTAGATCGAAAAGTATTATAGTGTGGATCTATGGTATCCTGCCCCCTATCAAAAATGTCATTACCTGTTTTTCAACTCATTGATAATTCAGAAGAAAGTGATCTTGAATTCTTATGGATCAATGTCCGAATAGATAAATCACAAGCTGCGGTGTACGTTGGTGTCTACTACTCACCATTCAATCATAATAGATAACAGGATGACTACTTTCTAATGCGCCTGTCTGTAATGTGTAGAGATAAAAAGCCCGGCATGATCATGAGGTACTTACATTTGAATGACATGTTTGAAATTTCTGAATGTTATAGATAAATTTCCTAACTCAAAAGTGTTGCAGCCAAAAGTTAAACTTGTCCTAACTGATTAAGTGGAACTGATCACAGAACTATAAATTAATGGTGGCATAGGTACAAATTACATTTATACTTATATACACCACATGTTATATATATTAAAATATGTAGTGTGTATATAAATATGAAAATATAGTGCTTTGAGCCAATTTCACAAAGCTGAAAACAATTGAGTCAAATCAGCTATGAGAGAGAATAAATAAGAAAAATGAACTGGGAATTATTTAAGAATACCTAATTAAATGTCTCAAACCCCAGTCTCATATTTGAGAGAGAAGGCTGTGCTGGCTAACATTTTTTTTTGTTTTGCTTTAGAGGAGCAGTAAAGGCAGCAATAAAAATTAAATATATAAATAAATGTAAGAAAGGGGATGTTAATAGTAATGAATCAAAAGCTAGGAACTGTAGAAAATGGGTAAGGGAAGTGACGGGAAATAAGAAGAAATCTATGCCCAGTAAAGATAAAGACAGTACATTTTTAATGTAAACAATAAAAAGAGTACTGACCATGGTTTTGGTCCGTTACTAGATATGAAAGTAGAATTGTCAGTGATTATGCTGATAAGACCATGAAGCTCAATGAGTATTTTTGTGCTGGATGTAGAGGAAAAAACAGATGACTTTCACATGGTGGTAGTACCTCTCTTTGCTTTCCATTAGTATCTCTGGAGGATGTTAAATAGAGGATACTAAAGTTAGGCATTTTTAAATCAAGATAATTTGCATCCAGGAGTTTTAAAAGAGCTGCCGAGCAGCTTGCTGGACTATTAAATATAAGTCTTGACGAACTGGAGAATTTCTGGAGAACTGGAAGAAAGCTCATGTTGTGCCAGGATTACATGAGTAATTAGAAGCCTATCAGCCTGACATTGATCCCAGGAAAGATAATGGAATGGCTGATAAGCGTTCCAGCTTAGAAAGAATAAAAGAAGAAGAATATAGGTAGGGCCAATCATTGTGGGTTTGTGGAAAATACATCCGGTCATACTAAAGTGATTCCATTTTTTATGAGATCACAAGTTTTGATGAAGAAAATAATGTTGCCATACTAAGACTTCTGTAAGGCCTTTGGTTTGGTACCACATGACATTTTAATTGAATAACCAGAATATTAAATTATCACATGCACATTAAATGGATTGAAAGCTTGGCTAAGTGATTGGTCTCAAAATACAATTTTAGACAAGGAATCATCACCAAACAAGTGTGTTTCCAGTAGGGTCCCCCACAGACCAGTACTTGATCTTATGATAATTAACATTTTTATCAATGATCTGGAAGAAAGCCTAAAATCACTGATAAGGTTTGCAGCTGACCCAAAAATTAGGTAGTGGTGGTAAATAACAAGGGCCAAGTCGTTGTTTCGGAGCAGTCTTGATCATTTGATAAACAGTGCAAATAAACTATTTTAATAAGGTTAAAAGTGTGTTCATTTGGGAAGAAAGAATGTAGGCTATAATTACAAAATGGAGGATTCTATCTTAAGAAGCAGTGAGTCTAAAGAGGGTTTAGGTGTCATGGTGAATAATCATCCGAATGTAAGTTCATGCTTTGATGCTGTGGCCAAGAGTTATTGTGAGCTTGGGATGTATATACGGGAATTTCCAGGAGAAATAGAGAAGTTATTTTACTACTTTATTTGGCACTGTTGGAACTGCTACTGGAATACGGAGTCTAGTCCTGGCACCCTCGGTTCAGGAAGGATGTTACACTGCTCTCTGGTTCCTCGACCAAAATGAATACAGGTTTTGATCTCTGAAGTGGCCAGCGCAGAAACCCCAAACATAGTCTCCTAAACATCACCATCCAGGACTATTGCACCTGACTATTGAAACCCTTTAGATGTCCTCTAGCACCGTCTTCCTTTCCAAATCTGAAAGCACTGAAAAAACAGAGGATATCTGCCTCTCCCACCTTCTACAAGCAGAGTGCTTCCTTCACACCACGGAATGCAGCTGATACCTGTCCTACAGCAGGTGGCCATAGATACTGTTGTAATTAAATCTACAGTTTCCACCCTACAGATCACTGTGACCGATTCAGAGTGCACTGCAAGCTAAATCCAGATGAATGAGTGAAGCATGAAGCAGAAAACAGAATTTCTGAAGTGGAAGATTTCAAAGACAGCAAATTACAATTTATGAAGACCTCTAATGATAACAGGACTGTAAGATCAAGCTTATTGATCTAGAAGATTGCTCATAAGAATGTAATGTCAGTATTGTAGGTGTTCCTGAGGGAAAACAAAAAGGTAAATCCTCTGTAATTGTTCCTAAACTACTGAATTGATGGATCCTGCCAGTGGATCTTTTTAATTTCTTTAGAAACAGAAGAGGCATTTTGGTCCCTTGACCCTAAGACAGAACCAGATCAGTTTAGAGCTTTAGCTCTGAAGTTCCTATCACCTAAGGAGCTTACATTTCAGAAATCTAGAGAGGGAGGGGAAAGGAGTTACGAGGAGAACCAACAATTTAAAATACTACTCTTTAAAGGTTATGCCTGTGATGTGTTTGAAATCAGGGCATCTTTTAATCAATGAAAATAGTTGGCTGGGCAGATTAATTAAATTTAAGTTTAATACTTGGCAACACTCCATAGTAAGAATCTACAAGATAATATTGTTCATGTCTCCTCACGAAGCAGAAAAATATCTCAAATACCTTCAAACTCTCCTTACAAGAGGAGACATCTGTGCAATTATCCAAATATATGGAATTTATGTATTGCTCCTGGTGATCTCCTATGGCTGCTTTTGTATAAGTTGATACTGATCCTTTTCTTCTCCTCCCCTCCATTACTGTTGAAGGGTTAAAAGATTACCATCAATTTACTTATGACCTTGGCTCACAGGAAAAGAACATAGATGTAAAGTCCATCATTTCAATAATGTATATACAAATTTTCTTTATTAGATGGTGTTTGTTAATGAACTACTGTATCAAGGATTTACTGGTAATAAGTGATTACTATAGAAGTAAATATTGGGGCTTCAGGGGCTGTGAGGAACTCTAGATTTCACCAAATCTGGCTACATTCTTTGGGAATCAAGTATGTATGTATTTTTGGATTGTTCAAACAGATTCTTCTTCTTGACTGTGTGGTAGGGATGTTAAGTAGTGATTAATTTCATAGTCGATGGAATTTCCTAGTTGATAAGCACTTCCGTGTTCTGCCTTTGAAATGTACAAGAGCCCCTGGTAACTCCTGGCTCCCTACAGCGCTACCACCTCTTCTGTCCTTCTCCCCTCCTCCCCTGCTGCCTCTATCTGATAGAGGCAGCAAGGGGAGGGAAGCGACTAGTCAACTCTTTGCATTTGCTTATCAGACAGTCGATTAGTCCTTTACATCCCTACTGTGTGGTACTAATACGAATTTCTGTTTCTACTATCCTTTCCACTTTGCGTGTTTCCTTATTTTTTATGTGCTCCTTTCCTATTGCCCTCTTATTCCTGTAAAAAATATACTGGGATTGCTGGCTTGTATCACCTTTACTGCTTATATGCTTAGGAACTATATGTTAATCAGGAAAACTTGCAATCTTTCATTTATTCAGATAAAATATAAAGTTGTTTTATGATGATTTTAATATTGGTGGCTCCAATAACTAAATGTATCTTGGAAAATAGAACGTTTTAATCACTCTGTTAAAAGGAGAACAATATTCTGTGCTTAGAGAATGTTGACAATGCTATGCTCTAGG